CCCCCATATACCTTCCCCTCAGCACTCCTGTCAAGCCCACATTTCAGTTTATCCCCAGCTCTACCCCACCCCTTTCATACTTGGCACTAGAAGGGGGCTCTGTCCTCTCCTCCCAGCACACCCTTTAGGCAGCCCCTGACCACAGATTCCTGGGTAGATCCAGTCCCGGTCCCTTCCATAGAATGTGCTCAGGCCTTCCAAGCCCCAACCGTGAACCAATCACTGTGGGCAGGGACCATAGCAGGCCTAGAGCCCCCAAGAAGCAATTCCATTGGCTCCAGAGTTTAAACCCAAGAACTATGATCTCATCCGCAGCCATAAGCCTGAAAGGTCCAGCAAGGCCAGCCTGCCCCAGCCTTCTCACTGGGCCACCACAGTACCCCTAAAAAGAACTCCAAGCCTTCAAGACCAGCAGTAGGAAGCTCTCTGGCACAATGGTCAGTCGCTGATGGAGAGAAATGCCCCCTGGGACAGGGCATGCTGGCCTTCAACACCCCAGACTCCACCTGCTGGGCCATAGTGCTAGAGGCTGAAGACTGCTCCCTCCACCCCAGGGCTGTTGTAAGATTTCTCCCTGTAAGCTCCCACAGGCCCATGCTGGAGTTCTGGAACCAAACCTTGCCACCCTCCTAGGAACCATCCACATCTTTTGTCTCCTTCCAGGTCTCTGGGAGGAAGTTTCAAGCATTCTGGGATGCTGGATCTTATCTCCAGGGCAACAGAATCCCTGGAGGATCCAAGGTGGCATACGGCAAGAAGTTCTGATCTGAGAGACAGGGAGTTGGTCCCCAGAGAACAGCTCTGTGCCTGAGCAAACAGTGTTAAGCACCTCATCATCATGGTTTAGGACCCAAAGGAAGATATCATGGCCAGGATGCCCGTGCCCCATTCCCAAGGGCCTAGCCCTTCCACCACCTCCACCTGAGTGGACACCTACCGCTACCCCTCCAATTTCAACCAAGCCACTTGGAACTGTAGCAGGTGATATTCCACCTTAGATTTCAGCAGGCTTCTCTTCCACCCAGGTCTTTGCAGGCTGTGGCTTCTTACTCATCCACAGTAGCAGTATACTGTGCCACTGACCACATAGGACAAACCATAGTCATGCTTTACAGGGCTTTATGAGGATGACCATGAAGCCATCTCTGTCTACAAGCCCCATTCTCCTCTTCCCTACTTCTTAGTCTATTCTCTAAGACCCTCACCAGGCCTGTAGCATCTCCCAGCATTCACCTCTCCAAGGAACCCATCATGAGACGGGCTGGTGTGGTCCTTCAGATCAGTTGAAGCAGTGTGGGTACCAAATGGATGGATAGAGGAGTAGGTGGACAAAGAGACATATTAATGACTGAATAGATACATGGATGGGTGAGTAGATGGATAACAGATGGACTGTCAGATGAGTAGATGGACAGATTGATGGAGTAGATGAATGGATGAAGAGATGGATGATGGATGGACAGTAAAAATGTGTGGGTGGGTGAATAATATATGGACAGATGGATGGCTGGGTGGGTGGATGGATAAATGATGAAGGATAGATGGAGAGATAGATGGGTGGGTGGGTAGATAGATGATGGACAGATGGGATGGGAAGGCTGGCAGACAGATGGGCAACTTGTGGATGGGCAGTACCATTTCTTAACAGGATTGGGGCACGTGCTTCCCCGGAAGACTCAGCATCCTACGAGTGTGAGAAAGACATAGAGATTCCCTAATGTTGCATCAACACATGAAAACACACCCAGTTGAGCACCTGGCACACAGTAGGCACTTCAAGCACTAGAGTACCCTTGCTCCTCATTGTCCATGTCATGTCTCCTGAAACAACCAGGAATGAGTTTCTACCATCCTGAAGAACTGTATTTCTAGCACACTGAACCACTTAACTGAAATAGGTTCTTGACCAACATGAAGAAGCCACCAGCCCCAGGAATAGCCCCCAGGCAGGAAGAAGAGGCAAGAGGAGCCCGCCTCCACTCCAACCCCTCTGCTCAGGGAATTACCCAGGGGACAGCTCAAATCTACAGGGTGAGATCACAATAATCATACCACAACCCAATCTCACAACTCCTGCACCTCACAACCCCTACTCAACCAGGGGAGCCTGGAGAAGCTTCTGGAAAGAGAAAGACAAACATCAGAGGCAGGAACTAAGTCTGTCCTCCAACCTCTCATCTCTCTCTTCCCCTGGGCAGCAGCATCTGTTGAGGATCTTGAGTCAAGAAGGCTCTAGTATGCCTAGGAGGTCATGGAGCCTAGCAGGGACTATGGGCACTGAATAGAGAAGAGTCTAGCAGGAAGCCACCATTCTTCCCAAGGGCCGTGCACATTGTTTCTGTGCCAAGGGACTCTGGGGAGGAGGAGATGCACTCTCCCTGCCCCTGAAGCTGCTCCTGACACCTTGTAGAGTCTCTCTATTCTAGGAGCACCATGAAGTAGGCTATGCAGAGGACCTGGGAACCAGAGGCCCCGTAAAGCATTCTTCCCAAAAGAAAATCCTGAGCCTTCTCCTGCTGGGTCCTGGCTTCTGTTTTGTAGGTGACAAAGATGGGACTGGCTACCATTAGAAGCTGCAAGATCAAGTCTAAGTTTGACCCTGATTCTGCACAACCCCCAGCACCTACACTCCCTCTCTGCTTCTGTAGACCTCTATGCTCCAATAGGGCACCAATCACGACTTCTTTGAGCTGAGGATATGTGCAGATACAACTCCTGCAGGCCATGACCCAGCCACCATATCCCATAAACACACAAAAAGGGACAATACCTCCCTTCAAAAATAAGCAGATTGCATCTCAAGGAAGTTTCAGGACATGGCTTTTGGCAGCAGTCACGGGATCTGAGTGCAGGTCTGGGAGATGCACAAAGCCAGTGTCCCTTCAGATGGAAAGGCCTGGCCTTATGGAATGGCCTCTAACAAGGGTCACCTTGAATGAAAAGGCCTGGCTCTTATGAGATGGCTCCTGACAGTTGGTATTTACACCCTGGCCCAGGCCAAGAGTCCTGGAAAAGCCATTCACCAAGCAACTGAACTTCAAACTCTACATCTGCCCACTACAGTGGCTTTTAACCTGGGATCCCTGGATGGATCTGTCACAAGTGCTGTGCTATACATAGTTCGGCTGGCTTCTCCACCAAAGCACAGATCCTGTGGGCTTCATACCTCCAGCCATTTCTATTTCAATTTGTCCACAGTCATCAGCTCCAGAACACATCCAGGAAACTTTTATTAACCTGGAACAAAGGGCCAGAGTATGTGGCCCCTTTCCAAGGAGGAGCACCAAGACAGGAAGTCCTTCAGGCTTCACAATAGAGCCACAAAGATGTCGAGGCTACTTCTCCACCTATGGCAACTTTCCATGATACCAACCAGCACAGGGAATTCACTAGACATCCTTGCTCTCCATGAGTATGTGACACTCCTACCAAGGGTCCCACCATGTTGGGAGCACCTGAATATCAGCACACATCTGCCACTCCATGTACAGCTGGAGAGAGAGAGCTGGGGAGAGAGAGAGAGAGAGAGAGAGAGAGAGAGAGAGAGAGAGAGAGAGAGAGAGAATCAAAGAATCAAACAATAACCAGAGTCTGGTTTGGCCACCCCCAGAGGATAAACATCTCCCATCTCCCTCGGACTGTCTTTCACATCATGGGCAGTGGGAAAGGAAGAGCCTTCTCCTCTCATGGTCCATAAACTCATACTGGATGGCTGCACTTCAAGGAGTCTGAGACTCAGAATTCACACCAAGCCTCAGTGCCGGGGGCCATGCTTCTGACCAGCATGGCCTGCAGGCATGCATGGGCACAGTTAGACAACTTGTTTCCTCCACTGATCCTCTGGCGTCATAACCAGACAGATTTTACCACCAGGATGTTAAGGGAATAGTCCACAATTCTTCTGTTGCCAGTGTTCGCTGTGGCTGGACTTTGTCCCTAAACGGGAGGCATCTTCACTCCTGCTTTTACACTCTCATCTCTCTTGTGATGCCTTCTGAACAAGAATAGATATGGACACACATGCACGCACGCACACACGCATGCACACTCCACATTTGTTCCATGCATGCATGCACACACACGTGCACACACTCCATATTTGTTTCACATCATGGTAATTCAACACATTAAAATGTTAGATCTGCCAGAAGTAAAGGAATCTGGGACTTATGTCTGCTGGCTGGTGACCCCACCTCTTTCCAGAGGCTTAGTGGTAGATACACAAGAAGGTGGCTTCTAGGCAGGCGGGAATCTGTCTTGTAAGAGTAGCCCTGCATTCCAAGGCCAGGTAGGAGCCAGGTACCCACACAGTTGCTGGTAAGGGGTATTATCCATTGTCCTGTCCCCTAGGGCTAGAGCATGGTGAATGCTTGCTTGTGCCAGGACTGAGTTAGAGCTGGAGGGTGGGGACAAAAGGCAGGCAAGATGATACTGGAGGCAAGTGGCCAGAATGTGAGTCCGGGTGAGATTTCACAGGATCCCCAGAGAAGTAGACAAGAGCAGGACAAGATCTTCCAAGGTGTCTAGAAACTTCTGCATTAGTGGAATAACAGCACAAGGAAGGCATTGGCCAGATGTTCAGATCCCGAATCTCTAAGGTCAGCGCTGAACCTCCAGTTGCCCAATCTCCTTGGGTTATTTCTGTGCCCTCACTGACTGGTTTGAGTCAGAAGTGGAGAAATGTGTAGAGAAAAGACCACTTTCAAACTAGTAAAAAAAAAGGGGGGGCTAAGCACCTCCTTCAGAGGGTGTGTTGCTTAGAAAGGTGCCAGCCTAGAAAGGGAAAGCCAGTAAAGTGGCCAGGGGAAGGGCATATTCATTAGAGGCCACACCCAAAGGGAGCAGGTCCTCGATGACCTCACTCAGCCCTGCTGCCACCAACATGCCCTACCTTGCTTACTGCTGCCATGTGCAAAAGGGCAGAACGGCACATCTTGAAATCCCCCCCAAACCCAGAGCTTTCAGTAAGGCCACACTGCACACATTACTCATTGCACAAAGTTTTATTGGGCACCTCCCAGAAGTCACTCCAGGGGATCCCAGCTGGACCAGGAGGGGCAGGGCTGCCAGGGAGACACAAATTTTATCTGTTGGACAGGCTGCTGGCCACTGAGGAAGAACAGAACAGGCAGAGGGCATGAACTCCTGTGAGGATGGTTCAGGCAGGAAGGCTGGGCTCCCTACATGGGGGAGGGTGGGACAGGTCAGACTAGGGCTTTGGAAGGAAAGAAAAAAAAAACATTATGTGTGTGGGGGGGGGGGGGGAATCCGAAAGCAAAGAGAAAAGCAACAGGAACACCATGATGGAAGTTCAGAGAGAGGAAAGCTCCTGGGCGTCCAGAGGTCAGTGCAGAGGGGAAGGAGCTTAAAAGTAACAAGAGTGATCACCAAAGAGGCCTGAGTCCATGCGACCAAGTCATGATGAAATGGGGCCAGTCCTAGGGCGCAAGACTTGTTCTCCAACACTCCTCTCTAAGGATGGCGCTGAAGCCTTTTCTGAGTCCTAGGAGGTACCCCTGCTGGGAGATGTGAAAGCCACTGGCACTGTCCACCAACTTCCATGGAGTCTTCCGACAGTCTTGGGAAAGGAAGGCAGAGACTATACTTGCCACACCCACCCACCAACCCCACCCAGAGGCTGGAAGACCAAGGGGTTAGTGCCAGGTCCACTTAGCACCCCCCTCACAGGCAGACCACTATGACCCAGATCTTGGGAGTAGAAGGCTGGCCAAAGTCCCGTCCTCCCCAGTCATGCCAAGGCCTCCACCCCCACCCCGAGTTGTTCCAGGGCACCAAATGGACCCAATCCAATATATCCCTCCTTTTCTCTCCCCTGTCTGCCCTCTGCTGGAGCTGGAAGAGGGCAGACAGGAGTGCCCCCTCCCCCAGAGTATGCCCCTCCTGGGCTCTTGAAACAGGGGAAGTCCCCAGAGTCCCCTCCCAAGTCTGTCAGTTCCCACTAAAGTCCAAGCATCGCATGGACTTCAGTATTTCCACTCAATTTCCTTGGCCCAGTATTCACACTCTAGGCTGTTGGGACAAGACAGGACACTTAAGCAACTGGTAGAAAGCCAGAGATCTATAGCTAGTAGGGGGTGCTGGCCTGGAGGACAGTGGGAAAAGAGGGTGGGGGAGCTAAGGAGGGACAGGAAGAAGGGAAGGGGTAGGGGGCACTGGAGTAGGAGTTGTCAAGCCAGGTATGTGCCCCAAAGGCCAGAATCACCCACACCTTGGCTCTGCCCTCACCTGTCCAGGAGACCAGAGGAGTCAGAAGGGCCTGGGTACTTCATCCAGTGCTCTGGAATCCTGAAGTGTGGGGTGTAGCCTGTTTCCCACATCACCAGCAGATGCCCAGGAAGACCACCAGCTGCTTTCCCAGGTGCCCCACATCAGGAGGAAGTGAGGATCGGATGTGACTGGTCCATAGAGCAGGACCAGCAGTGCTGGACTTATATCTGTCCCAGACTATGACTGCCACGTGGCATATGCTCCCAGACACATAGGAACATATCCCAGGTGGCCTTTTCAGAAACTGAATGTGGAAAGGGAGGACCTGTTTCATTCCCTGATTCTTGAGGCAAGAAGCAGGACATGCGCTTCCCAGAGATGAGAGACTCTTGGGTTGAGGAGAAGTATGTCTTGCTGTACCCAAGATAAGGTCTCAGAAGCCCCCAATCTGCCTCTCAGACTCCCCAGCAAGTGTCTCTTCTCACTCTACCACCCCAGTCCAACAGAGAAGAGGGGTGGTGGTCTGTGAGCTCAGAGAAGCCCTGCTTTGGGATAAAACCATATGAGTTGGACCCCCAGTCGGGTATGTTCAGGGAAATTTCCCTAGTCCACCTGAAAGATCCTACCAGGACGGCTAGGAACAATAGGAGTCTGCAGGTTTCCCTCAGGTGGGAAGTGCTGGGGTGTATACCCCATCCCACCGAGCAGAGAAAGTCCCTCAGCCACAGGGAGAGGAGACACATTCCCAGGCTACTCTGTTCTCTGAGTATGGTACACTCGGGGCTCCAACTGCAGCAGCCACAGGTCCTACGAAGGGTTCCCGGGCAGAGACCTCGGAAACCCGGTAGCGAGGGCAGGCGCCTACCTGCGCGCCCTCTGGGCCACTTGCCCCGCGATCGACTTCTCCGGACAAGTTCCTTGGCTAGTGGAGAGCAATCGGCAAGCGCCCACCCGCCCCGTTCGCCAGAGCGGTCTCCAGCCGGGAAAGTTAGGCAGCTGGTCTCTTCTGGGAGGGCAGCGCACGGGACGCGAGCGGCTGGAGCTGCCGTATCCGGCTGGGGTTCCGTCACCCCAGAAAAGCCCCAGCGATTGCTAAGGTGTTCTAGGCAGTGCGGCTCCCGGGAGCTACCTTTGGGGTTGAAACCTTGCCCTGGAGGGGGTCACTGTGAAGTGTAACGAAGCAGGACTTGCTCAGGGTCTCGGGGACCCCAGGTCAAGGTACCTCCCCGCCCCGCGCGGCCCCTGAACCCAAGTCGCCAGCGGTGCGCCGCGCACAGGGACAGATTAGAAGGTCTCCACCGCCGCGGCGGGGCCGGCCAGAACCCCACGTTGTTGGGGAGTTACCCCGCACCCCTAAAAAGCCTCAGCACACGTTCCCGGTTGGAAGTACGCACTTTACGCGTCCGGGCGCCTCCGCGGTGAGTCGGGCCGCCGCGCTCCGGGTTCGCGAAGGTGGCTCAGTTCGGGCGCTCCAGTCTCGACGTTCCCGGGGCAGAGAGCAACGTCCGGGGACGAACGGGACGGGTGCGCCCGGCGGCCGGGGCTGTGCCGGGCGAGGCAAGCGGCGAGAGGGGAGCGCTCCCGCGTTCAGGCAACAGCTACCCCTAGT